CCACGCCTCGGCGCTCACGCAGCCTGCAGTGGAGTTCCTGCTATATTTCAACATGAAACCACAGCGGCGTGTTCCTGCTGAGGGCTTCCTTTTTTCTGAAGCTGCGAGCGTTACAACAGGACGCCGTTACAACACTCCAACAGCCGGGTGTGCTCCACCGGCGTCCTCGGCAGTAGAAGAGTGTCACTGCGTCATTTCTCTCAGACGTCAGACATGAACTGTCTGATAAACACATTGGCGAGCTGCGGCGGTCCCGTGACACCCCCATCCCCACCCTGACCACCCTAACGCAGTCCCGCAGCTTCCTGTTGAAATAACGGTGAAAAGCGACTCTCCTACAGCAGCTTTGCATGACTCACTGCTTTAAATAATCCTTCTTTGTCTTTAAAACAAGCTGCTTTGCTCTTTAGGCCCCGCCTTCCTCTCTGCTGGTTGGGTGACTTCTGGAGGCCAGCTGATGAGCGATGCAGGCGTGCACGTCTGGGCTCATGGCGCCGAGCGCTCACTGTGTTTGGAAACATTCCTCAGAGATTCTGGTCCATGTTGGCATGACATCATCATGACATCATCAAACAGCTGCTGCAGATGTGTCTGAATGTCGCAGCAGAAATCGAGAGGAGAGGTTTGCTCTTCCGCTACTGCAGAGAGATGCTCAACAACCAATCACAGGTCGTCTTGGCCGTGTCTCTGTGTCTGCATGAGTCGAGTTGCTGCCATGTGATTGGCTGATTGAATAACATTGTTAATGACCAGCTGAACAGTACCTCGCCATCAGCGCTCAGTTTTCCTTCAGACGTGTACATGTTCTTGTGGCGCTACAGGGGTCAAAGGTCACAGCTCTGCGCTTGTGTCGATGCGAGCGAGAGAAGAATAAGCAGGAAAAGCGTGAGATCAGAGGTTAAGGCTTCCAGCAGCAGTGAGCTCAGCCGACCTCCACCCATACGGAGCGAGGGGAGGGTGGGGTTGGCGTCCCCAGAGTCTGGGCTGAGCCTCGCTCTCCGCCCACACATCTGGAGAGCGTCTGCAGACCGCCTGTCGTCAGCGCTGTCGGTCCTCGAGTCAGACTACGAAACTGAAACTTTCACTGATAAAAAAACCACAGAGAGGCTGAAACGCCTCAAACGACTGCGAGCAGCTGTGTTTTCATCCAGATTAGACGCACAGCTGGAGACGGCATGCTTCACTCCTCTGCTGGTGGACGACTGTTATTACTGTTGGTGCCGAGTGACCAGCGAAAGAGAAGAAGAGAGCAGCGCGTCATCGCTGGGCTGAACCTGGATATGTGGACATTCGTTTTTGGTGTGAAAGCCTTTGATTCACCTCTGCACTGTGCACACAGACACAGAATGAAAAGAAAAGGAGGCAAAACGACTACAAACAGACACAAAACATGATGACGGCACACAGGCCGAACACGCCTCAGACCGGCAGCCCGTCTCATGATTGCTAGAATCACATTTAAGATGATAATAAAACAATGAAATGTTACGTTTCGGTTTTTTGCTGCTCGTCATGGACACGCTGAGGTCATCATGCACTGCTTTCCTTTTCTTCTTCGTTGGTGGTGCTGCTGTTTTTCCTCATAGACCGTTTTTGGAGTTTGTGTCCAGAAATCAGAAGTTCAGACTCGATCAGCAGGATGAGACTGTGGAGTGACTGTGGGGAGGAAGAACTCTCTGTTAACAGGAAGGGACTTCCGGCACAGTGAGGATCAGGCAGGGGGCGTGTGGTTGATCTGATGCTCTAAAACCATCGAAGGCCTCGGTAACACAGACCTGGACACTCGTTCTACTGAGCAGTCGCT